CATTAGCACTTGTTTAGAGTCGTGTTTCTGTCCACCGAATGAATCGAAGTCCAACAATCACTCTGATTTCAGCTCGGTTTTTGGTCTCCACCAACTCCTGAGAAAAATATCTGGCTCTTAAGCTGCTAAATGCTCCGCTATGTTTGCCAGCTAGTTGCTTTTCAATTCTGGAAACAAGGTTTATGAGATCTTTGACAGTGAACAAAGAGAATTGCGAGCCTTAAAACCCCCAAAACAGTTGAGTTGTTAAGCAGAGAGAAACAATATCCATGCAGCATGGCTGTGTTGCAGCTGGCTGGCTAACCTTAGCTTGCTAACGTTATTGCTAGCAAAATACAATCTGAGTGGATGTTTTAGCTGGCTAGCTTGCCAAATTACTCCACCAGCTGACATGATCCACGATCCGCCCAAGCTAAGCTGGTGGTGGTCGGTGGTTGCTTCATGATGTGAGCTGATGGGATCATTTGCAAACTGCTAACTAGTGAGTAGCATGGAGTTAATGCTTCAAATGAAATATATTAACATTAAAAATAGTATTGTTATTCTAAATATAATTAAAATTTACCTGCATCCCTGCTGATCCTTTTATTCTATTTTTTCTGTTTTCATTATTTATATCTTGTAAAGTTCCGTTTCTGTTTTTATTTAATGTGTATTTTCTTATCTGTTGTGTTATATCTGGAGCTGCTGTAGCGTGTGAATTTCCTCAGTGTGGGATCAATAAAGTCTATCTTGTCTCTTATCTTCTTTCAGCGTTCAGTCATTCGTAATTAACGTCACTGTTTGGGCTGATGCCCTGGATGCTGACTGCAGTTCATTTAATGGCCACCGGTGTCATTCCACATAGAGCCTTTAACATAAAAATCAGGGCTGTCAGTTAACATGATAATAATGCCTTTTAATGTGAAATTTTTTAGACACCTTAATGCAGGTTCCGTTATGATGACTCTTTGCCCGAAGTCGGATTTATACTCCAAAACCATCACAGGATGCTACAGAGTCATCAGAAATGGCCGCCGCTTTAGGTGGCTGTTCAAAGGAAAGGATGTTGTATTTCTCTTGCCTCACATCTTAGGCAAGTGGAACTAAGATGCAGGAAAAGATCGAAGTGAGGGAAAGATGGATGCAATTAAAGGAACTGGCATGTGCACTGTGTGTTGATGCTTTGGGATATCCAACCCAACACAATGGATGCGACTGGAACACGTCTCTCCAGATGTCACTATTATTATTATTATTATTATTATTATTAAGCTATGAATCAGACTCCCATTCTTTAACATTTATACATGGAGATTTCAAGGCTCATTCCTGAAGGAAGCAAATAAAAAACAGCAAAACTTTAGCTGAATCACTCTTTCCTGTCTTACTATAATAATAATAATATGGTTTCTTTACATGGACTTAACAATACCAACATGTATTAACCACCCCTACATCAGACGTTCAGGTGGAGCTATAGAGCTTCATACTAAACTCAGCTGGCAGGGGAATGTAAAAACAGGATAGGATTACAGTTATGTGTTATAAGATCATAAGATAAAATGAATGAATGATCACTGTGGGGCAGTTTGTTGTAGCAGCAGAAATAGGGAGGCAAAACAAGAAAGCCATACATCCATGTATGTATGACATGAAAAATCTAAGTTATATAAGGAGATGATGACAAAATGTTGTGCACTTTCTAATGATGTATGAATGTATGTATGCATCTTACTTGAACCCAGTTTATATTCCCTATACAGCATATGGATGTTGAAATGCCTGGAAACGCCCCTATGTAGCAACAAGCATCAGCATCCACCCCTTACTGTCAGGGACCTGGGTTGTTTGGGTGGGAAGTATGGTATTACACAGCCTTTCATCATCCTACTTTTAACTTGGTCCAGAACATGCTGTTAGCCTTAATGTGTTGGAAACTGCTAAAAGGGTCAGAAGGTTACTTGGAAATTAAACCTAAAGGCCGCAAAGGCTTTATAGGGGACAACATTAAAAGAGACTTAAAAACTAGAAGACAGTACAGAGGGGCTGTTACAGGTCTGTTTTTGATTTAAGTGTAACACCAGCAGTGTGGTTTCATCACAGCTGTCAAAACGCTGCTCGGTTGCCAGAGAATGCGAAGCACCTACCTACCGCACACACAGGCAACACTGGCCTGCACACAAGAAGCCTTCAACTCTTTAAATGTAGATCAAGTGCAGCTGCTCATTAGTTCCTATATGAAACTGCACTGTATCAGGTAAAACTGGCTAACAAGTCTCACTATTCAGTGGTTCCCAACCTGGGTCATAATAGTATTGTATTTTTAATTAGTTTATTTCGTTTTTAGCTTCTATTAGTTTCAGTATTAGTTTCTTATTAATATAATATGGGGGGTATTTGTCGGAATAGGTATTAGAATTGAAACACATTGACTCACAGTCACATAGACATTCCAGTCTCAGTAAAAAGATGCACCAGTGCCTCCTCATGTGTGTTGTTAACAAATGTGACCAAAGTGACAAAGACTAAAACTTAAAGACATTACCTGTTTACTTTGTTTGTTGTACGAACACAAGAACACAATATTGTTTCAGTCTTTTTTTTCTAAAGTCTACCTTTTATTTTTATTTCAGTTGTGTTGATGTTTTTTCCACACCTAGTTTTTGTTTTTAGTTTAGTTTTAATTAATTGTAATAATCTTTTTAAGCATTTTGTTCATTTCTGTGAGGTAAACTTATTTTTTAAGTATAGATTATTATTTAGGATCTAATCTTTTGAAGACCTGAACACAAGCTACATTCACAGAGCATTCACTCTCTTGTCCTGTATGAGAAAACTTCAAACAACCAAAGAGCTGATAGAACAATGAGATGAAATCTCTGATCAATACTGCTGATTCACATGATTTATCCCAGTCTGCTGAGCAAATACATGTGCTAATACCATGTATTCTGGTACTGATACCAACACAATACTTTTTTAATACCTTACAACAAAACATGTTTTTGTTGCTTTGTATTGGTCCAGTATTTCCATTGTGCAGACCTTAGACATTTTATAATGTATTCCTATGAGATAAAATGTGTAACCCCTAGTGGCTAATGACTAAATGTAGTGTGATACAGAAATGGCTATATCTCTGTTAAGTAAAAACTATAGAGTCATATCAACACTGGATTCAAAACAACTTCAATTTCAATAATATGTTTGATTAAGTGTGAGTCTGATATTTAATGTGTCAAATGAATGTTAAACAATTGTTGCAGTTTTTAAAAGAACATCTACAAATGAAGGCATGATAACTATGTGAAATCAATAATTTAGATTTTGTCATGTGCAGCCATACGTCTTGTGAGGCTTTTCCATCCCATACTAAATATAGCTATTAATGGGTTAACAAAATATACCAGACATGAAATGTTGCACAAGCCCCTGCATAAATACAGTCTAAAGTTGACAGTGTTCATTAAACAACAATGGTGGCTTCTAATGTGGTTAGAGTAGATGATGCTAGTATCAGTTCTATCAGAACTGGAGAGTATCTTCATTGAAAGAAGAACAAAGAACGGCCATGAAGGCTTTTTTGATGGGAAAGATGTTTGAGCTTTATTCCCGACTGGTACGAGTTTGACTATGTATCCAATCACCTACCAAGTGCCTGCTCTTTTGTTCACACATGTTCCCAGATGGTTCTGTAAAACAAATGCTCTGCCACAGTCAAATTAGAATGTGAGTGGAAAATACATATGTTGGGTTATATGGGTGAACTGTCCCTTTACCTTAGCTACTGAGAATTTAGACTGACATTACTGGAAAAAGAAGAACCTTTAGGAAACAATGTGGAAGTAAACTTCTCATTTTATGCCCTCAGTGACTGATGGGAAGCAGTTTCCTCCACTAAAGTCAACTGACACAATTCTCAGCAAAGTCTGTATTTCTGCCCCACGCATGAAACCAGATCCTCCACTTATTTCCCTCAAGATTTGACTTCACATTTACCTCTGTGGCTCTGCGACAGTGCATACTCTGAGGTTTCTGCACTCGTAAACAACCGGTAACTTACAGTAAACCATTACTCCATCTCCACAGATTGGGACGATGTGGGAATGACAGCTAAATTAGATCTTTTCCCCTAGAAAGCCATTAAACAATTCAGTCTCACAGCAGGAAGGAGACATAGCCACACACACATATACACACTGCTAACACGCCAAGGAAAACTCAAAACCTCTCCATGCGAGTAGTTTAGAGGTTGTACTTTTGTAATCAATAGCATATAAATCCAAATGCTCTCCCAAAGAGTGACAGCTGTTGGATATGTTTGTTATAGATCTTGTTAATCCAACTGTTGCAGCAATATCACTGCTTTCTGGCGCACACACACACTGGTGTCTGGCCCTCAAAGTGTGATTAATATGTCAATACCGCTAAGGCAAAATTAGATTTGGCCTGTAGTCTAGCAGAGACAAACATCGTATAATCAATCATCCGTTGAGAATGTCTTGATTTGCAGTTTCACAGGTGGAGTACAGATGCCGAGTGTCGCTTTCTTAACATAGCACCGTTGCGTGTCTTGTTTGGTATAATTATCGAACATTTGAGGCGATAAGCAGGTTCCCAACCTTTGACTCATAAATTCATCACTCAGAGCTGAGAGCTGTGGCACGCAACCCCAGTCTGAGGAGAGAGAGAACCAATACCACCACATCTCCACACACACACACACACACACACACAGTCATACCTATTATGTGACTGTGGCTGTCTCTCCCTTTCTCCTGCTGCCCGAGGCTATTCCTGTCTCCTCATGCTCCGTGGCATGTCAGACCAAGGATTTACACCGCAGTACACCTATTTACGGTTTCTCCCCCCCCTCTGGACAGCCCACTGCTTGTTTATCTCTTGCGTGGTGACTAAAGATGTACGGTATGTCTCGTTCAAAGACAAAACAGAAAGCAAAAACATACTGAATGCATAGTTTGACTAACTGGCCTCTCACTGTACAAAAGAACATGATAAACATATTAAGAGAATTTATTCATAGACATAGTAAAAGGACAACAAAAGTTACAAACAACGTGAAAACACAAACATCATGCACTGGCAAACATACTGGACATCTGCAAGGTTGAAGGATTTTGTTGAACATCCAGGAACCAATTCTGGTGTGCATTTCATTGCTGACTATAAAGCGGGGCTGCATTAATGCCAGCGGGGTTGAGGACTGGCTGTGAGGCTGTCGAGGCAGTGAGTGAAACAAGGCTCCAGCCCTCTGCTGTACAATAACACGGCACTGCCAACTGGTGGCCCATTCAACAGTTACACTCAATACGGGAGGTCACGTCAAACACTCCTCAAGGGTCATTTATATTCCAGTCAGACAGCTTCCCAACAGGTTAGACAAACTTACTTTGGAGAGAAAACAAAAGCAAATGGGGTTGTAAACTTTAAATTTCCTGGCTAAACTTCAACTGTACTTACAGTGTCTGTGTGCAGGTTTACTGTGCAGTGAGGGATTATTACCACCAAAACAGGTAGCTAATCTGTCTGCTTCTTTACAACCTGTGTGATTGTCTGACCCCTGTTTAAAGATGCTTCCTCATTCTGAGACGTTAAAGTGTGAACCTATGGTGACACCCATTTGTTTGTGTAGCACCGTTCTGAAGCCTCTAGTTTGGCGTTCTGGTTGTCACCAAACTAGAGACTGAGACCATAAACTCATTAGGAAACGAAAAGAAGACTGCATGGTATCTGTGTGCTATTGCAGCCAGTAGAGCTCCCCCTGCTGGCCTTTACATAGAATGCAGGTTTTAAGACACTTCCATGTTGCCTTCACTTTTCAGACCCGGAAGCTCTGTCCATTATATGTACTGTATTCTGTCAATACTAAACTCTAGCTATATGTTCTATATATAGTTCAGCTGTGTTCTTCCATTATACCAAGCGTTTTGGTTGTCTGCCAGAAGCTGTCATACAGATCATGTCATACATTGACTTTCAGTTGTAAGCCACATTTTTACCATCCAATGTTTGGATCTGATGGCCAGAGTTACAGAAATAAATGAACTGCAATGAACTGTAGGTTTACTACTGCTGTTAGCCTGACATTTGCTTTTTAGCTACATTATCTGAAATGTTTATAATTTGGAACAACACATGCTGTGTGTGTTGCTAGCAGAAGTTATAACACTATTAAGCTGTCAAGCTGCAGCCAGTGTCTACAGAGCACCACAAGCCACAGTGCCAGATACGGTTCTAACAGTCGAAAACCATAGAACTGCAAAACGAACTAACTTTAGTGTTGCTGTTTGTACACACAATAGTTGTGTGTTTTTCAGCATTTGTTATGCCTTTACAAGTGCCGGTTACCACAGCAGACAGCTCTTTAAGATGGCTGAATAATGTTGTAGCTTAAACAACAGACAATAAAGAAGGGAATGACTGAGGGCCAATTCAAATCAAGCACGGTGGCAGAAGCGCCAGCCGTCCCTTTTAGTGCCTTTAAGCTATAGCGGCAGGGGGCCGGAGGAGAGACCAAAAACCAAAAAAGGAGCACCCCTAAGGCTGCAAAACAGCAACATGGCAAACAAAAAATAGAGCTGCTAACAAGAAAGGTCTTAAATAAAAGAAAAAAATGACTTTCTGACTGTTTCACTAATCTCACTAGTTTCACTTCTAAAGCACAAATAAACACACCCCTGCCAGCAACAGATGCAACCCCTGCTTTGGTATGAATATGGCCTAAATAGAGTTCCTGTCTTAAATTAGCTTTTTGTTTCACATCCCGAAGGCAGGTTAAGATGATGTCTGTAAAATCAATTTTGTGAATCATTAAGTGTCATGTCACAGTGCCATCTGCACAACTGACAGTTGTTCTCTTTGTCCTGATGTCCTCAGACATATTCAGCAGCTTCCAGATCTGATGTCATCTATTCAAAAGGCTGTTAATGGATTTCATTTCATCAGAGGACAGAGGGGACAGGTTGTAGCCTCTCAGCGCAGGTTTTCCTGTAAACCAAAAAAGACAAACATGAGTCACCTTTCAGAAGACTGCTGGGAGGATATTCAGTGGTTGACTTCAGCTGTCCTGCAGTGGGAACTGGAATGTTTCCACTTACACTGGATTTTATTGTGAATGAGGCCTTTTTTTACCCCAAAATAACATGAAGGATTTCCCCTTTTCAGTGGATTTACCAGAGGAACATTAATTGAGTTGCAGCCCCTCCCTGTTTATTCCGCCAGGTCTAATAGCTATCTGAAACGCAGACTGGCCTCAGTTTCTACTCCCTCTTCCAACAGCTGAACTGCTGGGAGACATTTACGGTTTAACGACACACCAGCATCAACTGGAGCTCCACCAGAAGGATCATTTCCTGTACAAACACAAAGTTCCTGGAGACAAGACACTCTTCCAGCATAGACTGTAGACATATTTCAGACATGATGACAGCAATTCCCTACTTGTTTTTCCTCAGCTTTCATAAGCCCAGAGATTGCAGGTCAAGGGTCAAGAGACAAATGGTCTGAAAAAAGTTTCAGAAGTTTCCAAGTGAATACTAAGTACAAAGCCAGTGAAACATCTTCATCTGAGGATACAAGCTGCCTATTAAAAGTATATATTTGTTAAAATATATTTCTTATATAACCTTGTGTTGTATAATGATAAATACATTTCCTTCCTCATATCACCAGCAGCTCAGCTTTTACATTTAAAAATATATATATATATACACCGGACGTATGTCAGGACCGTATGAAAAACTAGATACCGCCTAATGGAAATAAACTACTAAAGTGCAACTGCCATTGTGGGCTGGATAAAGTAACACACACCTATACAATATATTGTGGTCCAATAAAACACCAGCAACATCTCCAGCCTTAAAAATGACCACAGATTGAATCAACACCTCTCTGACTGTGTTTCAACAAGAACTGTTCAAAAAGGAAGCACGTATCACAAGGCTGTGGGGCTGCACTGACTGCACAGCTGTTTATACTGTTCACTGTGGCTACGGTCAAATGTACAGCTAGCCTAATCACAATGGCTGTCACATTATAGATTTGCACCCCAATACTGAGCTGATCTCAGAAGAGTTTGGAATTTGGTTTTTTTTTTTCAGAGAGTAGGCGCATCCGCTCAGCACCTCTGTGCAAGATTTCTGCTGGTTGCCAGATAAACGTCAGGGTGACATGGCTGCAGGAAAAGACACAGTGTCTGACTGTTGTTTGCCAAAAATAGTTTCTACATGGAACTCCCCATAGAAACCACCAAGGATGTTTTTTAAACATGGGTTTGTGTACAGACAAACTTCTAGTCTTAACCCTAAGCTAATTGCCTCCTTGAGCTCTTAACACACAAAGAAGCTTTTTTCCCAAAAAGTCAAACTATTGCTTTAAATTTGCATCTTGCAAGTGATCAACTGAACAGCCAAAATACTCATCATACCTTGCATCTCATTGAGACGATTGACTTTTGCTTTCAGTCCTTTGCGAAGGTCGTTTATCTCCTTGTCCAGCTGCTCTTGGTCTACAGATTAGGAGCAAAGATCAGAAGAGTTCAGGATGATCTCACACGTAGCAACAATTGGGCTGGGTATTGCTTTAAAAAATTCAATACCGATAACTTGACTTTAATGTCGGTTTTTGAACGATTCTTTTTCGAGATACAATTTTTACAAAAGAAAATTACATTACACATTATGCTGCAGTTGCTTACTCAAAGGAGGAAACTGTTCAAAGATCTGTGAAATAAAGAAACTGATGGAATATGTGTACAGTACAGGACTGTATGAAAAGGTATACATTTTTGTCAAAAGGAACGCTGATAACAAATAGTAATGGACATTGTAAAGTCTAATCTGCCTAATCCAAAGAAGAAGATGAAGGGAATGGCAGTGGGCCTGGAGAGACCTCTTACTTTCTCTGTGCTAAAGAGCGGTGGACGACATGGTGAACAGACTCCCTGGCGAGCAGATACAGGTTAGCTGCACTGGTAACGAGCAGCACAAAGGTCACACTGTTCACACTGCAGGCACAAGGCTGATTTGTTTTTGCTCAAAAGTTCCTCAGATCTTTTTTTTTTCTTCAGTGCAAACGGTGAAAATCCCATGGAATCTGAATCTATTTGGACCAATGTAATATATGGTCCGAATCAGATACAGGTCTGATGACTACTATGTTATCTGTGCAAACAAGCAGCTATCAGTGAGCGACTGTTTACCTGCATGCCCCTGCAGCACGTAATGTTAGACAGCCTGCTGTCTGCTCATCAAACTTTGGTCGTGAAAAACAAAGCATTTTTTAATACTCAAAGTAGTATCACAGCAGTTTGGTTGGTGCCATAAAAGTATCAACGTTCAGTACCCAGCTCTCAGGTACAACACATCTATTTATTTAGAGTGAAAATCTACACAGTACATTCAGATTGTATTAAGTGGAATCTTTTACCTTTCTGAATCATCTCCCTCGTTTTCAGCTTGGGAAGTTTGATGAACATGTTTCCGAAGCAAACCTTCACTTTCTCTGCAAAAGACAGCAGTGTTTCATTTCAGGTAGGGCTGCACAGATCATCACAATATTATCAAAACTGCAATATGGCCGAGTGCAAGATGCAAATCACAGAAGCTGCAATGTGTTTGATGAAGGTAAAACGGGACAAAAATGGGACAACATTATAATGAAGTACTGTATAGCTGCAGCGATTGTTCTCCAGATTTAGGAAAACATGTTTGTTTGGTCATCATCATGGTTTTAAGTATTTGTGATGCAAAAATGTCCACACTAATTATGAATCACATCACAATCACAATATCTGTCTAAATAATTGCATTATGATGTCCATATCATGAAGCCCTAATTCCAAGTACAACCAATATTACCACTGTTTACTTAACTCATATGAAAATACTAAACTATGTCCTCCACTGTGAAACCACTGGGAGCACTGTTTTCATAAGCTAAGCCAACGTGTCCCTGATGTCCCCGTTTGAATGTCTGAGCTGAGATGTGTGGTAACACTGTGAGTGAAACAGGACACACACTGCAAGGCTTCCTCTCTGACAGCAAGGTCACTCACCTGAGTCTGACATTTCATCTTTCAGGGCGTTCAATGCCTCTCTGTTCCTGTTTCTCTTTGTGTCCAGGTCCACTATCTGAAACATCAACAGAGATCATTAGTTCACAACCTTAACCAGTAGCTGATGCTGCAACATCTATTTGATCTTTTTATGGATTGTGACAAACAAGCAAGTATCATTTTTCAGCTATCTGGATTAATGAGTAAAACCTAATCACACACACAACAACCATGTTAGTAGAAGATTTATAATATAACAGTGCAGTATCAGAGTGTAGCGCTGCAACTAACGACTTTTTTAATCGTCTGTCGGTCCTTTTCTTGATTAATCAATTAGCTGTTTGTTCCATAAAATGGTGAAGAATGTTGATCAGTGTTTCCCAAAGCCCAAGCTGATGTCCTCAGATGTCTGGTTTTGTCCTCAACCCGAAGACGTTCAGTTTACTGTTTACATTTGTGAGAAGCTGAAATCAGAGACATTTTTTGGACATTTAGTTGACAGCTAATCAATTAATTGACTAATCTTTGCAGCAATAACACAGTGTTTCATGGGAAAGAAATAACTAGAGAGGGGATCAAATGCAGTAAAGGGCCACAGGTCGGACTCGAACTCATGGCTGCTGCCTCATGTTCCTCTGGCTGCTCCTGATAGTACTGAACAAAAACCAATCAGAGTCAATCAATATATTGTCAATATAGATATTTTAGCAGCCAGTATTTGATGATCTGGGAATGAGACTTAACAATCAACTATCTTCCTCTGCTCTGATTGGCTGTTTTCGTCCAGACCCAGTGTCCTCCTGCAAATCCCATCAGGAGCTCTAAGAGGAGCCAGAGGAACCAGATTGTTTCACACATCATCTGTCTCACGTTCTACTGTCAGGATACAGAGAACGTTTCAGTGAATATGAGAAAAAGTTCATTTTTATAAAAGTCACCTACTGTTACTTACAAGTTCTACCTGCATGTGTGACACTTTTCTCTATTCATTGTACAGTCATACTTAGTTTATTCTGTATTTATTTATCAGAGACATATTTCAATCGCTTTGTTTTTGATCAATAAAGTTTATTGGTTCTCATTCACTGATCATGTGTGGCAGAGGCTCGAGGGCCGGGTCTGTTAAATGCTAATAAGTGTTGTTTTATATCGGTTCAGTGACAGTCACTATAGTTCTCCAGCCAGTCTAACAGCAGCTCACTATACACACCGGATGATCTTCAGATATAACCCAGCTTTAAGATCCAGACCCTCCGGGAGAATAACACGTCCTGCCTGAGACTAGCGTACAGCTAGCTAGCCTTGCATTGCGGTGTATCACGCAGTAGCATTGCCAGATGTGTTCATTTTCAAACAGCTGCAAATATAGCGTCAATAAAATAAAGTGACCGAACCACGATTCTTTCAGTTAGCTTAGCTGCTAATGTCCTCAAGTGTAGTGTCCGTTAGCAGAGCTAGAACGCTCTTTATCGGTCCTCTGCTAACTGCTAGCAGCGCAGTGTTCCCATGGCGGTATTTCGTTACCTGCTGTTTAGTAGTGAGAACATCTTCAGCTGCCTCCTCAACTTCTGTCAAATAGTCCAACACACGCTGGGATACGGCGTCCATGTTGGTTGTGTCGCTATAAAAATACGTCCGGTGAGAAACAACTGACCGGAAACAGAAGACGCATAATAATAGTTCCCCCACAAACACTCTGAGATGTGCCTGCCAGCAGGTGGCGGTAATGCTCCTTTAGCCCGGAGACACCACAGCAATTATTATTTTAAACTTTATTGAGCTTCTTCAAATAACAAACTGGCATCGTCAGTGGAGGTTAAGCAATTTAATTAATTTAAAGGGGGTTTGATCAAGATATAATATTATAGTATATATATATAGAGTCAAGTCAAATGATTCATACCCCTGGTAAATTCTGACTTAGTTACTTTTATTCGAGCAGCAAGTTTTTTTTTGACTGTAAATGACAGACTTCTCCCAGAAGATAATAAGACGATGTACAAGAGGCATCATTGTGGAAAAATATATTTCTCAGCTTTTATTTACATTTGAACAAAAAGTGGCATGTCCAAAATTATTCATACCCTTTGCAAACAGTCTATGGGAAAATCCAAATTCTATACCATTCCAAATAGTCCAAGCGGTTCTAAAGCATCCTAATTACCCTGATTCATTGGGAACAGCTGCTTTAATCCACTCAACAGGTGAAAAACAGCAGCTCTCTGCAGTTGGTTTGTGGACAGTCATGGCTAAGACAAAGGAGCTCACTGAGGACCTGCGGCTGCGCATTGTGGCTGCTCACAAGTCAGGAAAGGGCTATAAGGCCATATCTAAATGTTTATTAAAAAATACAAGACGTTCCGCACTGTGGGAAATCTCAGAGGATGTGGTCGGAAGCAAAAAGTGACACCTGTGCTGGCCAGGAGGATAGTGAGAGAGGTGAAAAAGAATCCAAGAATCACCACCAAGGCCATCCTGTTTGGCCACAATGATGTATCCTTCATTTGGCATAAAAAAGGAGAAGCCTTCAACCCTGAGAACACCATCCCCACTGTCAAACATGGTGCTGGGAACCTGAGGCTTTGGGGGTGTTTTTCAGCCAATGGACCAGGGAACCTAATCACAGTAAACAGCACCATGAAAAAGAGCAAACACATCAAGATTCTCAACAACAACATCAGGCAGTCTGCAGAGAAACTTGGCCTTGGGCACCAGTGGACATTTCAGCACGACAACGACCCAAAACACACAGCAACAGTGGTGACGAAATGGTTAGCGGACAAAAACATTAACATTTTGCTGTGGCCCAGCCAGAGTCCTGACTTGTCCTGCTGGTTTAATAAAAGTTACAACCAAAGTCAAAACCTGCCAGGGGTATGAATAATTTCGGGCTTGACTGTATATATAACATTATTATTACCTAAAAATGTAACATCTTTGTTTTGCATAAAAGCACCACACTTTGTGAACTACTATGTAGGAGTATATACTTTTTAATGAAAATCATTCAAAATTGGTAATATAGCAGACCCACCGGGGAATTAGTTTGCCCTGTGTTTGAGCATCTTAGCCACTAACATTTTTGGATGTGAACATCTATTTTTCATCAATTTCTAGAGACTTTCATTTATCCAATCTTTCATTTAGAGAGGTTTACACAAAGCACTGATCGGTTCAAGGCTAGCAGTGCACCCCCCTTTCTTCTTCTCACAACCGCTCAGGCTCTGTTAAGTTGTACAGGGACTGTGAGTGAACAGCAATGTTCAAGTCCCTGCCACTAAATATGCAGTGGTATGTTGTTTTGGAGTCACGTCTGTGTGGCTTTGCGGTTGTAATGTCTGTAATTCAGTTGTTTCGCAGAATGCAGTGGACTTTCTTCGAATGTTTGTTTCTGCTTGGCATAGCATCACTATACTTCATACCCCCCCTCACAGACACATCAGTCAGACCGTCGCTGGGACTAACTAGCATTTCATTTGAAAAACCCATTCAATTATTGATTCTAGCACAATTAGGTCTTATTTTGAAATGAAAAACACATTACGGCTCAAACTACATGGCTCTTATAATACCTCTATATACCTCATTCAGAATGGTAAGATTTGTGTTATATCGGCCTTATAAACTGATGAGATATTATATGATCTGAGAGTAAGTGTTGAATGTCAGTGTCAAGTGTCAGTAATAAATCAGTGAAGAAACCAAACAGCCACAGAGGACTGGGCCTACATCACAGCACTCCCACACATCTTCCTGTGATTTGAAATAATTACTTAATTATTCATTATAAAAAAAAATAATAATAATAATTACACCTGACAATTATAATCGTTGGTTATACTTTAATAACTTTTATTGTGTGTTATTTTGTTGACAAACCAAACCAGAGTCACTATGTGTTGAAAATCCTGAATACAAATACATACACAATGTCTTGTGCTGACGAAGGCTTACCGGGTTGACGCTCGTAAGATTTATGTATGATCAGTAGTGCATGTGAACATCCACTGCTGCATTAGCTTATCTGACTGCACTTACAGCACTGGATTAAACACAAAGCTGAGGAGAAAAACATCTGGTCAAACATAACATCCACTGGTAGAAAAATACATTTACAGTCTTGTTACATTCCTGTCAACCAAACATGACTGAAAATATACATTCTGTTGACTGTAGCTGTGGTGTACAGATTGCAGGGTTCCTACGCAGTGTGGAAAAAATATTTGAATTGATTTGAGTCCTTTTCAGATCTGGATAAGTATGGAAAAATATTTGTTTCCTTTCTAAAAATAAATAAAAAAGAAGAAAGACTGGGACAGTGGTTTTTAATATTGACAGATGGATGTTTCAAGCAAGATGCCCTTCCTCATCTCAGACTTCTCCCCGACACATGAATCTGGCAATACTAAAGAGTCAAACTGGAGGGCTGTCCCAGTCAAGACCAAATCAAGACATCTACAAACAAATTAGTATGAAAGAAAATGCTGCAGTATCTCTGAATTGCGGATATACATCAAATCCAAATAATTCAATTTTATTTGTATAGCGCCAATTCATAACAGAAGTTATCTCAGGACACTTTTCAAATAGAGCAGGTCTAGACCGAACTCTTTAAAACATTATTTACAGAGACCCAACAGTACCACCATGAGCAAGACCTTGGCGACAAGGGCAAGGAAAAACTGCCTGTTAAAAGGCAGAAACCTAGGACAGATATTTAGCTTGTGTGAACATTTATGAGTTCTGCAGTGATGTAGTTTAAAGTAAACTATGTTTTTTGTGTAAGGAAACCTTTATTATCATCGTCGTTTGCATGGACACAGTAAATAAACAAGGTTGCACAGATGCTGTAATAGCATGAAGCATACATTGGAGTTTAAAATCAATTATTTACATAATAAACATCTAGCTATTTGTAATGAGATGTCCAAAATGGTTTTGTCCAAAATTTTAGTCTGGAAAAGTCTGGAATGTTGAAAGGTATAATATGTCGGAACCCTGAGATTGAATTTACAGTACTCACATTGTTGTTATGTAACAAATTCAACCTGTTTGGGTCTGTTTGGTCTGTTTCTAGGAGATTTTTTGGACCCAGGCAAATTGTCCATTATTGCAGTGACGGCATCTGGTTTTATTTCCTGTTCCTTGAGCTCAGCTGCTCTCCTCCGCTCAGCTCCTCCTCTCCTACACTCAGAACCGCTCCGTCTTTTCTCCGATGCACCTCTCTCTACCCCGCCTCTCCTCTGCTCTGAGCCGCTCCTCCTCCTAAACCCCGCTGTCCTGTAGTCCAACACATCCCCCCACGTTCCCGAGCGCTCCCTCTCAGCCCCGGCACTAGAGTCTCTGGCAGTAGAATTAGGTTTCGCATTAGCACCTTGAACGGGGTTGCGGATGTTGCCCGAGGCTTGCATCCTCCTCAGGTGGTTGTTGGTCCTCACAGGGCTGCTGAACCTCTGAGCCTGGGACGCAGAGCTCTTGTCAGAGGGGTGCACCCGGCTCTCGCTGTAGCTCCTTTTAGGAAGCGATGCTGGACCCCTGCGCTCCAGCATGGGGCTCAGCCTGGACTGACGGCTGTGGCTGAGGCCAGAGCGGCAGCACGACGTGTTACAGGTGGAGTAGCGGATACGGCAGAGGGTGCAGGCACAGCCGGAGAGCAGGGCAGAGTGGCTGGCCAGAGAGGAGAGGAAGGTGAGGGGGAAGGCACGCTGACACTGGAGGATGCACTTTGGAGAGCTGAGGCGCGACGAGGCAGCGGCAGGGGACCTGTGGCAGCTGGATATGACATCCGACACCGCTGACTTCCCACTCTCCTCCTGGGAGGTCTGGATCTGGCGCCACTCCAGCTGCAGCAGCCTATCCAGGTACCTTTCCAAAGGGCCCACAGGCCTGGGTCGAGGGGCCCCCCGGCCCTCCATGTTGTAGAAGACCGCCAGCTGACTGAGGTTCCAGGAGTTAAAAGGTGGAGGAAGGAAGTCTGGGAAGTCAAAACCACCATGGCGTCCTTTGGGCCCTCGGCCGCGAGGGGAGCAGTCTTCAGCCTCGATGACCTCTGGCCTCAGCTCGAGCTGTGGAGGAACCCGACCAGAGGGCCACACAGGAAGTCTCTCTGACTCAGACAAGTCGCTGTCGCTGTCACCTTCTCCGTGGCCGCTCAGACTTCCTGCCTCAGGGTTCGATGACAGTCTCTCCAGCAGATCAGGACTTGAATCAGTCAGGCGGTGGCAGGGGAAGGCTGGTGTGTGTCTGCTCCCTCTGACACCTGTGTGTTTGTGTTCTCTGCGGCTGCAGTGTTGAGCAGCAGGCCGCACCTTCGGCTCCATCCTGTCCTCCGCAGGGGACTTAGACTCTGAGGTTCCCTGAGCACTAGAGGGGAAGTAAACGATGCTGGCTTAGAATACAGGCAAATCCATCTATCATTCATTCAATCCAACATAAAAAAACACTTATTTTTCATACTTACATTTTATGCTGAAGTCAATAATAGAAAATGAACAGGCCACAGACTAAAATTGATTTTGATATTTAATTTGTGTGATTTGTGTGAAAAGGAAGTTAGGCTACTAATCTCTTTATGAGTTGCAGTTAGCCTACCACTGCAGCAAATACACATAGGCGATGGCACTACCTGACTGAATGAATATGACTTTAAATGTCAATATAAGCCTCTTTTTTTCAACAAGTATTTTGGAACATGTCATGTAAAAAGTCTTCAATTGTGTGAACAGATAAACAATAAACAGTAAGTATATTTCTATAAAACGTAGAAAAACAAATGTTTAAGTTCATATTCATCATATTAAATCAGGCTCCGCCGTTGTCCAAGTGTATGTACTGCAAGTTTATCAAGTGCAAGAGTTCAGGAACTTCCTGGCTTTACCAATCAGACATATTAAATATAAAAAATCTATTTTGGTCTTTTCATTTCCTATTTTTGAATTGAGCATAAAATCTAAAGTAATAATAATAATAATAATAATAATAAACTTTATTTGTACAGCAACAAAGCTACAATGTGCCTGACATGGCCTGAACCAAGATTAAAAACATTGTAGAAGAAATAAAAGAAATAAAATCGAAGTGAGTTAGAATTAAAAGTAAAAATCAGTAGCAACAATAAAGCAGATAAATCATATTGCAAAACCAATCACACTGGGGCAGATGATACAATTAAAAGATACAAAATTAAAAGAATAACATACCAATCACTAATATATGGTAAAACCAACAATATCAATACAATACAGCAATATAATAGATTAAAGATGATGGAAAATGAAACGTGTTAGAATATATAAAAGATGTTTTAAAAGGATATGATTTAAGAAGTGATTTAAAAGATGTCACTGATTCAGCAAACCTTAGCCCCTCAGGCAGCTGAAGGGCCCTGACTGCAAAAGCAGTAGCCATGATTTGTTTCGTGCTGGATTCATAAATGAATAACAAAATAACAAAGCATGAAACTGGCACAAACTGCAGCCTCACCTGTGTTGAGACGTATTGCGTTTGGTTGAGGGTGTGTTAGACTTGTGCTTTCTTCTCTGCTGCAGCTTCTGTGATCACAGAGAGTCACTGTTAGGCCTGCACACACATTCTACTGATCACTAATACATCCACACACATCATCCCCAAATATTGATGCTGCATCTTTTTCATTATTAATCAATTAAAGCTCCAGTGTGTAACATTTAGGAGGATCTATTGGCAGAAATGGTAGAATAAATAATATTCATAAGTATGTTTTCATTAGTGTATAATCAACTGAATAAGAACTGCTGTTTTTATCTACAGAGGTTCCACAGAGTCTACTATGTTGAACCACTATGTTTCTACAGTTTTACAGTTTTACAGCCACCGTGTTTTCTCCTACACGCTGTAAAACCAGATAAGTTCATATAACTCAAAAAATTGTTGGAACTGATTTTGAACATTTTAAAGTAAAACTAACTAAGTTTAAGTTAAAAATATTATTCTTGATCAAGTATCTTTAGTCATTTTAACTGATAATGATTTCTATTTGTCCTGTAAAAACAAAATACCTAAAAAGTTTCTAATTAGGAATGTTTCTGTAACTTACAAAACCTAGTTAGTGCCACTTAAAATTACAAGTAAAAGTGGATTAATCAAGAATCTTTTTAACCTAACAAATTGTGTTTAAGTGTGACTTAAACATTTTAATGTAGTCAGTTTCAACAATTTTTTTGAGTTAAAGGAACTTATCTGGTGGATGGCTGTGCAGTGTAGAGTAAATGCAATCAGCAAGTACACTGCGAGATGCCGCTAAATCAAACAAACCTTAAATCATTTGGTCTTTGAATCGTTGGAAAATTGTGAAAAATGCTCCCATAGCTAGACCACCGCTAGAGGGTCCAGTTGAATTGAACTGAATGACTTTGCTAAATTGCAGAAAAGTTTTCTGCTATTTCTGATTTGTCCACTGAAAAAAGTAAAGTAAAATACTATATTGCTGTTCAATTCCAAAATATATGTGATCAAATGTTTAACGCCTTTAGATCTGTAAAGTGTAATGCACATGTAATGAGTGTGAGTGAATGTGGAAAAACAGACATATTGTTTTAACTGCACTTATTTTTCTTAAAGGTCCAGTGTGTAACATTTAGGAGGACCTATTGTCAGAAATGGAATATAATATTCATAGGTATGTTTTCATTAGTGTATAATCACCTGAATATAAGAATTGTGGTGTTTTTGTTACCTTAGATGAGCTGTTTTTATATACAGAGTGAGTGGAATACAACATGTTGAACCACTATGTTTTTCTACAGTAGCCCAGAATGAACACTGACTCTAGATAGGGAGTTTTGTGGATACTTTGTAGTTTCTCCTAGACACTTCACAGCCCGTTCTCATTCCCAGGTCAAATACAAATGATGCATGAGAGGTTCCTCTGGCTCCTCCTGGTGCTCCTAATGGCATTTACAAGAATCCACTGGGCCTTAACGAAAACAGCCAATCAGAGCCAAGGAAGGTAATTGATGGTTGAGGTTCCCAAATGGGAATGAGACTCAACAATTATTTTATCTATTTCATGCTCTACTGTCAGAATGTTGTTAGGTTTTTTTTTAATTACCTACTGCAGCTTTCAGACATCTCATTGTCTTTTTTGTAAATGGATGGTTCATGACTTGTTTATGACCCCTTGCACTTCTTTACACGAAAAGAAAGGGAACAATTTGGAGGTGTTTTTATTTTTATGTTGTTATCATGCATAGGTTTTACTGCTCTGGCCCACTTTAGATCAAGTTGGGCTGTATGTGGGGTGGAGCAGAAGCACACATTTGAGAAAGATGAATAATCAGAATGGTTGCCAGATCATTTCTTGCTGGTGTCAGTTCTGCTCCACTCTTACCTTCTCATTATTATTCTCCTGACTCGGGATCGTGCACTGTGGCTGCAGGGACTTCCTTTGTGACTGCCGCCGGCCCATTTTGTTGCTTGATAAAAAAGAAAAAGATGAAATATTAAATGCAAGCAATGACCCAGATAACACTGCACAAGAAAACACAAATGCGATACAGAAACTGGAATATATCGCGGGATTTGCAGTGCCGACATGTGTGCTGTAATTCCACACACGGAGCAGAGATGCGTTTGGAGATCAGAGTGCGGATAGAGAATAACATATGATCCCACGCTACCTGCCCACATTAGGCCTGTTGTTGCTCCACGACGCCTTCTTCTTCCAGTCCCTCTCCCTGATGGAGACCCACTCCAGGCATTGTTGTGGCACTCGCTCCTGCAGGATTGTGCCCATCCCAGCGCACACAAGGCACCAATGAAAAGGGCGAGTGGGCTGTTCACGCGAAACACGGCGGTGTGATCATAATGAGCGGGGGGGGGGCGAAATGCTCGAAATGCGCCCCTCTTCTGCAGGATAAAAATACGTGTGTGTGTGTGTGTGTGTGTGTGTGTGTGTGATGATCAGTTGTCGTCCAGCAGAGCGCAGAGTAGGGCCCTGCTACAGTATGATGCTCTACCTGGAAGGGAGGTGGGGGCGAGCCTGGGGGAAGTTTACACAATGTATGGAAGCTCATTTCCGCCAATATGACCGAAAAAAAAAAAAAAAAAAAAAAGACTATGTAAATCATTATAAGGAGAAACCTTCTCAGTATTTTTACCTAGTATCTCAAAATAATGAGAAACCTTTAACCTAAGTAATTTTTTTTAGCATCTCAAAATAAGGACTTAGTATCACAAAGTCAGTATTATAAGATATATCAATATTTTGAGAAAGTTTCTCATTATAATGATTTACAGAATCGTTTTCTGTCACATTGGCAGAAATGGGCTTCCATACAAATGTGTGGACATACAGGGGGTCAATACTGCCAAATGGGTGCCTTTCCCATCCCTAGGACATTACATGCATAATTATGTGTAAAAACTATACATGATATTATGAAGCGTCCTGCACTTTGTTCTAATTGCAATTTAAAGATAAATTATGTAAAACCTTAATAGAAACCACTACAAAAAAAAAGGATTTCAGCCCACTCTCACTTTACCGTGAAATATAATGATTAGAGTTCTTCAGAAAGCTTATTTTGTATTATTGTGTGACTCTTATTTTCAGATATAAAATATTTTTTATATGTATATAATATGTTAGTTAATCTTCACATTTTAGTTGTGTCCGCAGGTTTTCACTCTGATACGCTGTTGCACATTTCACAAGTCACATGATCAATTCAAGCATCATTTGAGTCTTCTTAAGGCAACGGGAAGACCAAAAGTAACACCTCTCACTCTATTTTCTTTATTTTTGATCATATTTAAAGTATAACCAGGAAGGTAAACCTCAAAGTTCAGTCCTGTGACCTAAATTATGTCTTAGATGTGATTATATTTAAAAAAAGATAGTTTTGGTAAACCAGCTCAAGGTGCTCAGTGTCGTCAATGTCACTGATGCCATTTTGGCTACATTTCATGTATTTGCTAAAAAGATGCTAAAAACTCACTCCTGTTACCAAAAATGAAAAAATCTTACCATGTAAAATATAAATAGAATGGCCTAAGATTGACCATTACACATTTTGTATAGTTAAACGTGTGTTATTAGATAGAGTGATAGAAAAAAAGATAAAAAATGAAGTTTAATGTTAACGGGTTACAACATGCAAATAGCAGGGATTCGGTGGAAAGGCCCACAGGCAGACTATGCATATGTGTGTGTTTGTGAATGTGCTTTTGCAAGTACATAGAATAAAGAATTAGTTAAATAAAGTTAATAGAAATTTTAGGGAAAAAATATCAAACAAAGATTCTTCTTTAGGCCTGTTTTATGATGAATTAGTGGAAGTACGGTAAAAAAAAGTAGCATAAAATGGACATACTCAAAGAAAGTACAAAAAAATTGTACTTACATACAGTACTTAAGTAAATGTACTTTATTACATTACACCACTGGTGATTCTACATTTCCTAAGATTTTTATTTTTACTGCAAGTGTATATCGGTTCCAAATATTGGTTTCCTTGATTACTAATAATCTCTATCGGCCCTGAAAAAACCATGTGGGTCAATCAGCTGAGTTGTTAATTAGTAAATAGAGTATAGATACTAACTCTATAGTTCATTAGGATCACTCCTCACTGGAGGGGTAAAAAACAAAAGGAATGAGCCTCATTTTGTTCATTAAAGTGTTACAATCTAGAGTTTACAATTAGTAGTTTGAATGAACAAATCATATTACCTACATACCTACATATCACCTACTGTATGTTGCTGGGTTTATCCGAGTGAAACTGCAGCATGGAGTAAATCAAAGAAACACAACAGGGATAGGGAGGTCCACAGCAGTGCGGTGCTCAGCAGTTTTCATTGATTAGAAATGTTACATTTCTCAAGGCTTTTCTGACCTAATGTAAGCCATATTAGAAATTAATGCAATCTCTTAACAATATTCAGATTTTGTAACTCAATCACATTGATTACAAAACAGTCTCAGAAGTCACTGGTGCTACTTCATTTGCATAGTTCAGGACAATATTTCTTCCAACATGGCTCAGAGATGTGTTATTAAAAACATTCATGTTATTGTCAATTAGCATGTTAAGGCACATACAGTATTATAGCCATTAGTCGCTAATTAGACAACAACTCTTATGACTACAGATGACATCACTCCACCATCCACATGACCCTGCACATCCCTCCGTGTGTCCCTCCTCTGTCAGTGTCCACACACAGGGAGCTGATGCCTCGCTGCGTCTTCCTCCCGGGATTTGACTTAATACTCGATGGTCACCGCCTTTGTCTTCAGGTATTCGTTGAGAGCGTCTTGTCCTGTGGGAGTGACAGAGACACTGACAGTGAGTGTGGATATTAATGAACGCTGTCGCTGCATCCTGGGCTCAGCACCACCCGAGGCAAATGTAATATGTTTAAAGCCGGGTTCTCAAACTCAGTGTTATCAACCGTTTGTACACATTTGCAGACACATTTGACATCTGCCTTTATTTTGTGCTGGATAAAATACAATTATTATTATTATTTTTTTAAATTGTATATGAAGGGTTATTTTACATTGATATCAAACAAGGGGAAAAAATGTCATGGGCAGGATCATATTATATTTTTGAGCATCCCCCCCCATACCAGACAGTGTTCAGCCAGACCTTTCTCCAGGACAACTGATTAGTAAGATCTTGCACAAATACGTGCCTCAGTTCAGCTCAGGTGCTTTGTTGGTTTTATTTAATTTTCATATGAGGAACAAATAAGTAGAATCAACAAGCATTACAGTTCCAACCAGTAAAATCGTGCATTCAGGAGCTGAGAGGAGTAATAACCATAGACATATAACCATAGACCATGACAGCCAAAACATCTCGATTGCCCCCTGGTGGCTGGCTGCAGTATAGCAGTATAAGTCATATAGCTTGCTGCCTCCATGTTCAAGTAAAACTCAATGTAAACGTCAAACACACTAGAGATGGTTTCATTTTAGGTTGATCTTATCAGCTGGTGTATGTTCCACTGTTATTATTCTGATATTCTGGTTTTAAAGGGGGATTTCAAATCACAGCTGAGCCCTGCTTGCGATTGAGTCGGCCGGATGTATGACTTTGAAAGGAAGGAAGTGGAGACAAGACGTCCATCCATTACATGTTGATGGTAATAGTAGTAGTAGTAACCTACAATAGAAAACTTAATCAACAATCTTTCTCAAGATGTAGGCCTACTGCACATAAAGGATATTTTGAAAGTTTTCTGTCCAATATTTTTTTTAAGGAAGGATATAAACATTTGCTTTTCTTTCTGAGAAGATTTCTGAAATCGATGAATTGTTTTTACATTTCTGTTTTTGTCCAGATGAAATAAACAAGATATAACATGTTAGTTAGTGAGCATTAGAGGTGCTGGCAGGCAGATCTTTACATATTTAACATACAGACATTAGAGTGGTACTGAACTCATGCAAGAAGAAGTGTCTTTCCCAAAATGTTTACCTGTTCTGAGTGTGACTGCAGCCGTGGTTAATGTCTCTGTATGTCCTTTAATCTAACTGCAATGCTAATTAAAATATATGAATAAAAGAAAAACAGCAGTTTTTCTCACCCAGGTCTTTGCCAAAGCCGGACTGTTTGAAGCCTCCGAAAGGCGAGGCCACGTCAGTCTTATTGTAGGTGTTGACAAAAACTGTGCCGGCGTTGAGTTTTTCACTGACGTACAGAGCTTTGCTGATGTCCCGCGTGAAAACGCCTGATGCCAGGCCGTACTCTGTGGCGTTGGCCCTCCTCAGGACATCGTCCACATCACTGAGGGACAGAGACAGAAAGGAGCTGTGGTCAACGTGGCAAAAAGGGTGTGTGAGTCATTACGAGGTGTGACGTAATCATGAGTTAGCTTACCCGCTCTTGAACTTGGAAATGATCATAACGGGGCCGAAGGACTCCTCCTTAGCGATGTACATGTGGTCTTGTACGTCAGTGAACAACGTGGGTTCAAAGAAAAAACCTGAAGGCAGACAAATAACAAGTCAAACTGCATCATCCGTCACATCACAAGTTGATATCTGAGACGGTCAGTGCAGATATCGCCACCCCACCTGGTCGCTGCACCTGTTTGCTCCCACAGACCAGAGTGGCTCCCTCCTTGATGCCGGTCTGACAGTACTCCACCAGTTTGTCCAGGTGGGCTTTGTGGTTCTGAGGGCCGTGGTCTGTGGAGCGGTCCAGCGGGTCACCGATCTTCATTTTCTTGACCTCCTCAACCTGGCAGAAAAGACATCGGAATGAGACAACCTTAAAATCAGAGTTACATGCTTGACCTAATCTCTTTCTGTCCTAATGGAGTACAGGTCACCCACGACTCTTTACCATTAAAAAAAATGTCTGCTGAATAGAAGCATATTTCTAAATTTCAATCTAATCTGTTTGGTTTTCTGTTTGGTGTCCTCCTGTCCTCCAAACTACAGTACTGCTGACTCACTGAAGCTAACCATCAGGGTTCCCACTCTTTTTCAGAAATTATTTAGCAAGAGTTTTACTCGACAATACAGGACAGCACTTGCTCACAATGGTGGTCAGCATTTGTAGGACACTCCACATTTGCTGGGTTTCATTGCGCGCTTGGCAGCCCATTTTTCTGCTGCGGCTTCAGTTCTGGAGTTCCAGTTCCGGAAAATAGACAACAGTTTTTCTTTAACCGTAACATTAATTTAAGTAACAGTTCAAATCAAGTAGAATTTATTTTATTTACAGTACTGCTTCATAATATTAGCTGCTGGGTGGCTAGCACGGGATGCAAAATGACAGCTTTGTATCAGGTAACACTTTAATTCAATACAGGCTGAGGTGGGCGATGTCATTTCATAAATTTGAAATGTATAAAACACACTGTAATGTAGTTGTAAGCAGATATAAGCATCTATAACAGGTGAATGACTGACAGTAGTAATATAACACATTGTAAATGAAGGTTCATATGAATAATGTATATAGATATGAAATATGAAGCATTTATTTATTTATCTCCAAACCAGTGTAAAGGTAACAAAATAAACCTACGTACTAGTGGCAAATTCAGTGTTCAAATCAGAAAAAAATAAAATACCTCAATGGAGTTTTTTGCCATTAAGAGGTGTGATAGAAAGAGAAACATGAGCAGTGTGAGATTAAGAAAAGACACATACCACTCTTTTCACAAACTGGTCATGAATGGTGTCTTCCACAAACAGTCTGCCAGCTGCGATGCAGTTCTCTCCCTTGTTGAAGAACACTGAGCTCATGCCCTGAAATACACAAAGAACACTGTGGTTTTCTTCTGCGATGATTTAAACGTGCACCAAAATCACCAAAACGTTGTTTCTGTGAGTGAACACACCATGCGCACAGCCTTGTCCATGTCACAGTCACCGAAGATGATGAGAGGGGATTTTCCTCCGAGCTCCAGAGAAACTTTCTTCACGTTGCTGACTGCACAGCTTCAGACGGAGGAGACACAGGCACACAAACATCAGCAGGAACGTCACATTTTGTTTAGATAAGAGTTTTGTGGAAGTGGTTTACCTCTCACCTCTTCATGATGTGTTTACCGATTTCAGTGGAACCTGTGAAGCCCAGCTTACGGACGTCAGGATGGTCAGACAGACGCTGACCCACCAGAGCGCCTGGAGGAGAGGGACAAGTTTAATGACGACTCGCGTATAATGCATGACGAGGAAGCCGGTGATTGAATGTGTGTGTTCCTACCTGATCCAGGCAGAATATTAACCACTCCTTTGGGCAGTCCTGCCCTCGCTGCCAACTCGGCGAACTTCAGTGCTGTCAGTGGAGTCACCTGGAGACACAGACCTGTTTTTAGCCTCGCTAGCAGCAGGGTTCTGGGAATGGCAGTGCTGGTCCAGACTGTAATATCTCAACTATTGGATGGACTGCCATGACATTTTGTACAGATGTTTGTTTGTACAGTGTGCCAGTCCCCTAAATCAAGTACCTCAATCCTGTATCACTATTGTACGCAGACAATTAGAAATACCGAGGTCCAAAAACTGAATTTGCTAGGCAGGATTGGGGCATGCAAAGAATGCAATTTGTTACTAGTTTTGATAATAATTAAAATGTAGTTCACTTTAGCTCTCACTTAACTATTTAAATTATTTATTTAATTTAAGCAGAAGGTTTAGGTTTGGCTCTAGCTCAGGCCCAAAACTGCTTCCATGGTTTGGAGTCGCATAGATTCTTTCCGGGCCTGGTTCGGGTTGGACCAGATTTTTAGGGGCCCGATCAAAGCTCTAGACAAAGCCTGACTGGTGGAGGCTGACCTGAGCAGGTTTGAGGACTACTGTGTTTCCAGCTGCCAGGCAGGCTGCTGTCTTCCAGGCCAGCATCATCAGAGGGTAGTTCCAGGGAATGACGATGGCACACACCCTGAGCAGAGAGAAAGGCAGGATTTCTGGCATGCTAATGACACGAGTGCCTGTTTGTAACTGTCATTTATTTATTCATGCAGTATTGGAAAAAAGTGAGTGATATATTAATCTTAGTTAATCTACTGATTTACTGAACATATGCAACATAATCTGCTCAACATATGTGTGTGTGTTTAATCATACAGACATAAATCCACTCATCCATCTCTCACCCTATTGGTTCCTTCTTTGTGAAGGTGAGGTTACGATTGGGCCTGGCCTGGTTGATGGGGATGGTGCTGCCCTGTGAACAGAGGACAATATTCATTTCCACATATTTATCCATATTCTGTGGCTGATCAGCTATGTGCTACTACCATTTGGTCGTAGCGTTGATCATAGTTTTATATAGTTTAAGTTTTTCGTTTCAGTTCTAGCGGCTGTCTCACTTGGATCTTGTCACACCAGCCGGCAAAGTAGCGGAAGGTTTGGATGGACATGCCCACGTGAGTCTTTAGGGCCAGAGTGTAAACCGCTCCGGAGTCGATGGCTTCGATGGTGGCCAGCTCCTCCTGGTGCTCCTCCATCAGGTCAGCCAGCCTGTGGGTGGGGACGCACAGACACACAGGGTCACTGACTTTGCTTCAATAATACTACCAGACGGGCCCCCGGTTAGCTCAGTCGGTAGAACTGGCGACCCATATACGCAGTGGCCCGGGTTTGAGTCCGACCTGCGGCCCTTTGCTGCGTGTCGTCCCCTCTCTCTCTGCCCCCCTTTCCTGTCTCTCTCCAGCTATCTCTCTGTCAAATAAAAGCATAAAAAAGGCCAAAAAAATAATACTACCAGAGCACATTATTCAAAAGGTCAAAGACCCCTTTATGATTACCTTTAGTTAATCCTTATGTATATTGGCAAATACATGTTTCTGATTGGCTGCCATATGTCATTCAGATTATAATCGTATATATACAGACAGAAAGTCTTATTCCCAGTGACAGTATTTGACAACCTGAGAATGAGACTCGGCCCGGTGGATTCTTGCAAATATCATTAGGAGCACTAGGAGGAGCCAGAGGAACCTGATTGTTTCACAGATGATCTGTCTCATGTTCTACTGTCAGGATATAGTGAAAGTTTCAGCAAATATGAATATAATAATAATATAATACCTGTAGATGAGTCTGCCTCTGTCTCTGGGGTTCATCCTGCCCCACTCGCCCTCTTCAAAGGCCTCCTTAGCAGCAGCCACCGCCCTGTCCACATCACTAATCTGGGCCAGAGACACGTCACAGATGGCCTACAGGACACACACAGGACGTAAAATCACAAAGCCTGCAGAGAGAACAGCCATGCTCCAACCAGAGGCTAGAGAATTCCCCTGTGAGATCAGTTAGATAGGGGATGAAGACTTCCTAGCAACCCATCACCAGACACAGCCACGAACACTGGTTGTCCTTAGGCCAGACATAAAAAATACATTTTATTTTAGATCTGTTGGCCTTGAAAAGATAAAGATGCTATTTAATAAAAGACAGTGCTCTCATACTATAAAAGTCCTTTTACAGCAGTGTCTGTCTTTTGGTCCTTACCGTGCCGTCAGTGGGGTTGATGGTCTTGTAGGTCTTTCCTCCGTCCGCATCAACAAACTCTCCGTTAATGAACAGCTGATGAGGCATCTTTATGGTCATGTTGTTGATGTTCTTCTCCACCTGTCGAATTAAACAGGACAACAGTCGACATGTTGTCTTTCATGGGCCATTCACCAACAAATACCAGCCAGCGACAGCGGCTCTCTAGGAATTTAAACACAGCCAATTGCACTCACATAGTCGACGACCAGTTCCTCCTCGCCGTCCTCCCCTCTGAGCTTCCTGACGCACATCTGGATGAAATCCTGGAAAGTGGTATTCATGTAGACATCCTCGTTCTGCAGCTGGCAGCCACTGGCCCGGAGCTTCACCTCCTCCACAAGCCTGGAAGTGTATGGCAGACAGAAGAGAGAAATGCATTCATTGGGATTTCTTGGGATAATGACCCTGAATAAACTCGTTAAAAGTTTCCGTTGCTTCCCAGTGGTAAAGTTAGGCTAATGTTTTTCAAACAGACTGCCCATTTTTAAAAGATGTTAACATTTTTAATTGGCAATAAACATAAAATACAAATGATGCTGATGAAAATGTCATCAGTTCGCAGCTATTTTGTCATAAATCAAATTATTGGACAGACATTTCAGTCAAGAGATCAAAGTTATTACAATTAATTGTCTAGGGTAGTGGTCTTCCAACTAGAGTCCAGGGACCAACAGGGGTCCTTGAACTTGAGAATATTTTGAAACCTGCATTGTTTACATTCTAGCAGCCTTCTTGGTGCATTACCGCCATCAGCTGTCAAACAGTGGAATAACATGAAGCAGGCAGGAGGAGTGTGCATTGTGCTGCACACATTCTGTGTCCTCGTACACACACGAGTTACAAACTACTTTTCTTGGTTCTTTACTTGGTTTTCAAAATGGGGTCCAGGGACCAACAAGGGTCCTTGAAAAAGAGGAATAGAATATTTTGACTTTTGGTGGAATAAGGTTGGCCAATATGACTGATTGATTAACAGCGATCCTTGTTTGATTATTGTTTCACTATGAAGACTTTCTTTAAAACTAATCTCTTAAGACAAACCCCTTTCAAATTGGGGGTCTGTGGTCTATTTCATGGCAATCCATCCAATAGTTGAAATATTTGGTCAAGAACAAAAGTAGCGTTTGTCCTGTGGAACACATCGTATAGACATTCATGGTTCCCAATGTGCCAGTCTGTCTTGTAGATGTGGAGATGTTTCACTGAATAACTGTAATGTGATTGTGTTTTTTTCGGACTATAATGGATTACCTTTTTTTGTGTCCTGATTATGTAACATTACATGCAATCTGTTACTTCCCAAGCCTGCATGATGCTAGCATGGCTAAAACTGGATATGGAGAAGTGGATTATGCTGCTGAGTGTCCATGGATGTTTTTTTATACACAGATATTTTGGGAGCCTTTTCCCCTTTATTAGACAGTATAACTTGAGAGATAGACAGGAAAGGAAGAGAGAGAGATGGGATGACACGCAGCAAGGACTCAGTGTTGGTACATGGGGCACCAGCTCTACCAGGTGAGCTCTGTGAAAACACTATTGGATGATACTGAGCACATTATAGCTTACAAGAATTCAAGCGGAATGGCAGAAGAAAGCCATGGCAACCTATAGTCATTGTTTCGTTTTTATTAATAACAACAGCATTACTGTACAGTGTGCAGAGAAATACTAACGTTATATTACCGTGACCTAATGTGGACATGTATGTGTGAACAGTTTTGAACTACCTGACCACATCCATGGAAGCAGCACCAGACTTGAAGAAATCAGTGGAGTCTTCGATCTCTGTGACATTAGTCAGAATACTCTGCCACACTGCCTGTGAAGAACCATTGTCAAAAGTCAGCATGGGACATTTTTTGTGGACGGATACACATTTCGCTGGCAAGCTCTCAGTTCAACTTCCCTAGAATTGGTAGGAGAGGAGGCCCTACCCTCATCTGTTCAGCGAAGGTTTTCTCCTCCTCGGTGAGCTCCACAGCAGCACTGCTCCCCGAGTTGAAGTACTGCGCTGCAGCGATCATCTTCCCATCCTCAAACTGCAGATTCTTCACCAGGAGCTGCAGAGAAAGAGTGCACAGAATGGTCATAATGACTGAATAAAGTGTGAAACCAGTTCCACCTTACATGAGCTTTAAAACACATTAGAGTAGCAGTGACTCAGTCTGTGTATAAAGTATGTCTACAGGAGAAAGGTGTCAAATGGAGTCAACAAAATACAACGTCTGACCTGTGATAAAGTGTTTGTCATAGACGCTGTTTACCATTTTTATTCATTCATTCATTTTTATAATTTTGTTTGTGGACTGCCTTACGCCACAGATCTTTTCTTTTACTGGCCTTCATTGTTTGGAGAAGTAAAGAAAATTGATGCCTGCTCTCATCTAACTTCCAAATTATTTGAGATGTCACATATCTAGGCTCATAGGCCCCGCCCCTTAAAATCTGATGTTCAATGATCACAGGGAAAGTTTCCACTTTCAGCAGATGAATGTGAAAACATCCTTCTAGAGTCAAACTCTGCACAGACAGCATTCAGACAGCACGCTGTAGGAACAAGGAGAAACACTGATTTCTGACGGGAGGGGGACTTTAAAGATTTGTGATAGAAAGGTTAACTGTGTCAAAAAGTGATGTCAGTCAGGTGAAGTTTATGGAAACCCATTTCAGCCTAATGTGATAATTCCAATATTTTGAGAAAGTTTCTCATTATAATGACTTACAGAATCTTTTTTTTTTTCCTGTCACAATGGGCTTCCATACAATTTAATGAGGGCTGTTTTTTAAAATGTGTGATTTTTGAACAGAACAGTGTTATACATAGTCCAGTACAGTAGGTGGTGGTATGACCCTTGGTAGATATTGTATCTTTAGTAAAGGCTGGCACACTAACACAGTGCACACAGCTTGGCAGACGGAGAGCGAACAGTCGGGCAGCAGGATGGCAAACGCTCCGCTTCAGTCATTCAACGTCTTTCTGACGGAGCGACTGACCGCAGCTGCGATGGACATCTACGGCTTCGTTGAAAAGACAATAATAGAGTACCAGGAGGAGGTGTACCGGACCAAACTGGAGAACCAGAGGCTGCAGCGGCTGCTGGATTTGGTCTACAAACCAGAGATAAGACTGCACAGGGCAGGTATGTCTCTGAGTTCACCCGGCACCTTACCCTGGGCCCGTCGGAGAACCTTAGAATCCGCCATTAACGAACCCGCATCAGATAACAGCAGTCAACGCTGTCTGGTTCGCTACGTTAGCAAGGCGCGTTAGCTACTGCTTCGTAGCTAATGACAGGAGGTACGTTTCCGGGCAAATTTCAAAATAAAACTCACTATACTGTACGGTCTAATGCTGACCAATGACGCTGACCCATTCTAAACCCCATAGGCAAAATGATCATATTCGTCGGAGCAAGACACTGCGGCAATAGGAAAACAGTATTTCCAGCTGCTGAATGTTTCCATCTTCCAAACTAGTTTCCTCCACGATTACAAAAATGAATCCAAGCATGGGATTTAAATTGTTGCACTTCAGATCAGTAGATCAGTAAATGTAAAGTGATAACTAGTTATTTTTTGGGCAGTAACCGTTATATTATCACTGTAATATTATTACTAGTAATGAGTTAGTGCCCAACACTGTTAGTTACACAGTTATGTAGCAGGGGAAATGCCACACTTACTTACAAAAGTACATGGATTAAAAGTGACAGGGTAGGCAGTATGTACTACTTGTAGAACATATACATTGATCACATTGTGAGCCCCTGGGTACCCTGGTGGTCACAATGTTCTGCAGCTCCATAGCAACAAACCTTGATGCACTGTGTGTTCTGACCCCTTTCTATCAGAACCAGCATTAACTGTTTCAGCAGTTTGAGCTACAGGAGCTTGTCTGTTGGATCGGCTTCACCACTTTTCCTTCCTTGGATCACTTTTGTTAGGTACTGACCACTGCAGACCGGGAACACCCCACAAGAGCTGCAGGTTTGGAGATGTTCTGACCCAGTCGTCTAGCCATCACAATGTGGCCCTTGTCAAAGTCGCTCAGATCCTCACGCTGCCCATTTTTCCTGCTTCTAACATCAACTTTGAGGACAAAATGTTAACTTGCTGCCTGATATATCCCACCCACTGACAGGAGCCATGATAACCAGATTAAAAAAAAAAAAAAGTTACGTACTGCAGCTTTAAACCAAATTTTTGTCCGTCCCAGCTTTCAGTTTGATGGAAGAGGATGACGAATTGAACGTCCTTTATTCTCACCATTGAAACACAACCATTACCTTTGATACATTAAAAAAGTACATACATTTGTGTAAATGTACAGTAGGAGTAAGCATGTCCATTACGACTTTGAGTCACCAATAGCAACACTAAAACTTTTATCTTGCAAGTGGTGTGAACTCCCTTGGCTGCAATAAAAACTGATACAATGTAGTCTTATGGAGAAATGAGCCGACTTCTCACTTGATTTATGAGCTCAGTAAACAGTTTCCTAATGAGTTTATGGTCTCAGTCTCTAGTTTCAGTCTTCTTCCATACAGCATGATGTTCATTTAGTAAATGATGGTCCCATTTACAGTAAAACAGACCATAAAGCAGGGTATGCTTTAGGGCGGGGCTACCTCATGATTGACAGGTAATTCTCAGTGAGTCTGTCCAGCTCAACGCACCAAACTCAGATCAAACTGTCAAACTAGGCAGTGCTGATCAGATATAGATCCAGATTCTGTTACTGTGTTGACTATTTCTCAACTAAAACCAATTTCAGAAACAGATTTTAGTGTACTGTCTATCTGGAATATGAGATTGTGAGTGACCAAGTGAGCCGCCATTGTTTCCTGACGAAAATAAGAGCAGCTCAACTCGCACTACGTCCCCTCCGCTGGCTCCGACAAACTGTCATGGCGATGACCATAACGCCAAACCAATAGGTGACGTCACAATAGGTTCACACTTGGTTCTCACCAATAGGATGCCATTAATGTTAACATAAAATCAACTGTTGCATGTATAGGAGGTGCTTAAATGCCCTTTCATAATAAGCTTTTAAAATGGTAGGAGCATGGGTTCATGAATTTGTTTAAACACTGTTGATGTGATGTCACATACTGTAACTGCATTTTGTAATTAGCTGTTTGTAATTCTAACCTCTGACCTTGTACCTGTAGCTGTTGGACTGAATGTGGAGACCCATTAACTGCCAGTCTTTTTCTATGAGGGAAGAGCTTACAGAAAGCATGTTGGGATTGTGGCAGAAAGTTAAATCATTGACCTTAAGCGGTGGATTGTATCGAATCACACCTGAGCTCCATTGTGTGTTTAAATATAGTTTAAATTAGCCAACCCAAACTACAAAAAGCATAGAAGCAGTAAACAGCATTTGGAATCAAGATGATGTGTCCACCCACACAAGACCATGTTCATGTCATATTGGAGTTTCTAACTTGTAAAAAGTGTTCACGTCAACTTCCAAGTCAACCAAACAAATACGGATATTAGCCAAATACCATCACTCATTGGTATTAAACCCACTTTATGGATATTTGGGGCATAAATCACCTGTTTCATCATACGATACGACATTACATTGATTCTTTGGACAATAATACGATATTAATATTAATCAGTGTTTTCACTTTGGATCGATATGTTGGATCGTTGAACACTGATACTGATGCACTGATACATCCATAATGGGTATGGTGTTATGTTGACAATGCACGGCATCTTCATCCTCACAACACCAACTCTGTAGTCGTACAGCCATCCTGATGACATGGGAATCTTTCCCATCACTACCATCCATCCCACACAGTTTGACGTGAATGCAGCAAGCATTAACATGAATTTATGTTGATTTCACACTTTATGGATCTACCACCTAGCGTGGCATAACTGTACTTAAAGTAAAGGCTGAATTCTTCTTCTGTGCTGCAGTACCAACATGCAGATGCTCTCTTGTGTTCTGAGAAAGCCACATCCAGTACAAACCATCAGTGTGACCATGTGTCACAAGGTCACACTATGAGTATGATTTGGGTTTACAGTATAATAAATGCATGACCCATCCATCCAGTGTAGTGGTAGTGTTACAGCTGTCAGCTTAGTGAATCCTACTACAGTGTAATTGTGCAACACCTAGAATTCAGCCTCAAAACCAGTAGGAGGAAAGAAAGACAATAATAATAATAATAATATAAATAATGAGCAGTAATGTAGACTGTAGTTGAATTATATTTATATATAGTTTTTTTTTTTTGAAGTTCAATAAATGCATGATAAAGTCAGTGAGTAATCATGTTAAAGCTGCAGTAGGTAACTTTTATGAGATTAACTTTTTGAAACCTTCACTATATTCTGACAGTAGTACATGAGACAGATAATCTGGGAAAAAATCATTCCCAGGTGTCAAGTATCGATGCTGGGAATGAGACTCGACAATCAACTGTCTCCATGCCCCCAACCCAAAGTGTCTTTATATCTTTCTTTGCTTGCATTAGAAGCACTAGGAGGAGCCAGAGGAGATTGACTTGTTCACAGATTATCTGTCTCATGTTCTACTGTCAGGATATAGTGAAGGTTTCACAATCAACAATTCACATGTCAACTGCAAACTTTAAATGGTACAAGTCTAAAGATAAAACATCATGTTCTGCTTAGATTTCTCTTCCAGTTTTTAAGCCTGACTTTGTTATTATGAATAGCTCATATTGCATATGTGCAGTAATCGTCAATCTCACTTGCATCACATGCACTCTTATCTATTGTGTTTTCTCATGTTTTGTGTGCTGTGAGTGCATTTTTATTGAAGTCTCTACTCAACATTTTCAAAAAATAACTTGCAGTTGATTCCTCTGCTGCTGTTAGGACAAGCGTCTGGGGATCATTCGAATTTCCCAAAATGTAGCTCATATGTGATCAGAGAAGTAATTTTTTTTCTAGCTGCTACCAAAAACATTTTCCTATCCACTGTTACAGATTCAAGGCAGATCGATTTTCCCACACCGACACAGAAGGTTTGTGCTCAGGAGCAGAAGATACAGAAGGAAAGTATTCCCAGTGAGGCTGATGAGGAGTCGGTCATCCTGCCCGTTAAAGAGAAGCTGACTGAACCCTGGACCAGGTCTGTGGAGACACCAGTAGGTCCGGAATACAGCAGCATTACAGACACACTAACTCAAACTATCACAGTTGGAGAACATGAAGAAAATGAGATACCAGACGACCTCACTCAAATTGTGAAAGTTGGAGAGCACGGCGACTACGAAGCACCAGACAGCCTAACTCGAGTCGTAACAGTCGGAGAGCAACTACAATATGAGACACCATCACAACATGAGCAACCGTTACCATCCTTTGGACTATCTCCAATATATACAAAGAAGAAAAACATGTTTTTTTGTAATATTTGCTGCCAGCCTTTTGTTAAAAAAGTCGAGTTGAAATCACACCTTGCTGCTCATGCAACACAAAGTTCACCAAAGTCCAGCAACAAAGCGTTCACCTGCTTCGTCTGCGGCAGAAGAACAGGCACCCGGAGTCAAATGATCTGCCACATGAGAACGCACACCGGCGAGAAACCATTCGGCTGTCCCATTTGTGGCAACCGATACAAACTGAAAGGTCACATTAAAGAACACATGAGGACTCACACCGGGGAGAGGCCTTACGCCTGCTACATCTGTGGCCGAAGCTTCAACAGATCTTCGACCATGAGCAAACACGCCAGGATCAAACACAGGGAGTACATGCCGTTCAAGTGCATGCAGTGCAGCCAGCGCTTCCCTCTGCTCGTCGTGTTGAAGCGACACATGAAGACAGCCCACGATGTCATATCCTCTGTATGAGATAATGTTGATGTAGCAACTCTTGACTGCTATTAAAGGCATACTATGCAGGATCTTTCTGTTGCACCATTCAAAGTTGGCTTCTCCTCCCTGGCCTGATGGAGCACCTTCGGTTGAGCTACACAGGGCATGAATGAGGAGAGGGAGCAACCTTAGTGAGAACAAAGCAGTGAATCAGAGAGTAAAAGGTTATTTTCTGATGGTTTCACTAAAGCGTAAAACAAACATGGCCACACAGATGCTATATTTCTGCACACTGACCTGCATCTTGTTAAAGTCCAGGCGAAATGAGACATTTTTACCCTTTAAGATCAGCATCCCCATAGCCATACTGTACCCCTATTTAACAATGTACGCTACAGCTGCTTGACCGAGGTGATGTAACACACAGCACTACTGACTACTGCGACAAGTCCCTCCCTAGCTGCCTCCTGTTTTTACAGGAAATACGTAAATATGTGGAAGCAAATAGCACTCTGATTTCCGTTTCATGTGGACTCAGATGGGGAGTAGAGGAGAGAGATAAACAGAGACAGTGATGTAACCTGGTCGCTATGTCTTCATAGAGTGCCGAACTCGGACCCTGCGCACTGCCCAAAGGCTGACGCCCAGAAATGTCCCAAACACAGCAAAATAAGAAAATACAGGTGGAGGGCTGCAGGGTCTCTGCACATACAGAAACCCAACACACTTTTAGTGGGTATGAGCCACACATAGTGATAATTTGGAGATTGTTTTTATGAGTCTATACACTGTTTTTTGGGAAAATCCTGCATAGTATGCCTTTAAAGTTGAGGCAGACGACCACCCACCTAGAGCCGAAGGGTCTGTCCTAGGTTTCTTCCTCTTAACAGGCAGTTTTTCCTTGCCCCCATCGCCAAGTGCTTGCTCATGGTGGTACTGTTGGGTCTCTGTCCTGAGATAACTTCTGTTATGAATTGGCGCTATACAGATAAAATTGAATTGAATTAAAGTTCAGAGGTTACACTGACTCTTACTCACAGAACTTGTCTGTTTAACCAAACACTGGGGTGAGTGTTTTCTTTGTAGGTTTATCTTTTATGATTGTATGTTTGTTGAAGTTGCAGTTGACATTCTTTACTAAACTAGCACTTATGATCCACTGCACTACATGCACTTATACTGTTCAGATGCTCCTGTCGAGTCACTGTGATTGCAATCTGCTTCAACTCTAACATGTTCAGTAGAACTACACAGAACACTTGCTGTATGTACCAAACACCTAGTTAAACATCTGCTGGGCATTAACATGTGTATAAAGCTCTACACATGCATATAAAATGCATGTGTAGGGCCTTCAGTATTATACAAAACTGGTTTTGTTTTTCAACTTTGTGACTGACAGTAATCATGCCTTTAATTCCTATGTGACCTTGTTCTTATTGGCTAGGTGCAATGTTCTGTATTGCCTGTGATGTACTGTTATGAAAGGCGCAATGCCAATAAAGCGACAGTACATGTAAACACTGCCGCAGTTCTTTTATTGTGTGTAAGTGAGCAATATGTGTGGAAATCAGAATGATGAAATCATGATTTCAAAGGAGAAATGTAGAACCATGATGACTTTTATTGATGCTTTAACCACATACTGGTAGATGTTCACTTTCTGACAAACACACATTTTTGATAGAAAATCTCTTAAATTGAGTTATTAATGTGCAAGTTAACAGCAGCTGAAAGTCTTGCTGACCTCCAGTAGTTTCTCACCTGGCTGCAGTGATGTAGAAGTGTAAGGGGTGCACTCAGGGAGTGTAGCAACAGACTTAAAGCATTCAAACAGAGAGGTCAGTGACTCCACAGAGGAATACATGGAGCCCCTTGTACATTATAGTCCTTCCAGGTGTTGTACTACTGCATATTTGAAAAAAGTCACATAAAGCCTTCAGTGGTTCCAGAGGGAGCCGTGTGAAATCTGATAAACTGCCTCAAGTGATGTCACGCGAGTCGGCTGGGGCTGAAAACTAGAAGCCTGAAAATGAAAACAATCTGTTGGTGTGGAGTTAATAAGTGAGCTAACCAGACCTCTTCAGCTGCTTCTCATCTCTGTTTGAGGCTAGTGGCTTGAGGCTACATTAGCTGCTACTAGCATAACACACCCTAATCTTCGACCCAATCATTGAGCGGTCAAGTTGCACTGTGGGTAATGGGTAAAAAACCAGGTTTTTACAAAGAAGAAGGAACGCATCGAAACAAAATAAACATGTTTCTGCTGCACTGATTTTAGTCGCCACATGCTAAATCTGTGAAGTACTCATTCATACAGTATGACTGTATACAAAGTGGAAAGAGTGGTTAGAACAGATGGAGGTTGGTCTTAGGCGGCTCGAATATAGCTGAAGATGCATTCACGTGATTGAAAATGCTTGGCGGTTTGGAGAGAATAAATGCTGACTGCAAAAACACTCCAGCAGCCCAATTTAAGTCAATTTGAGCAAATGACGTGTGGCGAAAATGTGCATTCAATCTTTCCAGTAAATACTATTTTGATTGTCATTATGTTTTGGTGTAATTCATCAAATAACATTCACAAAAAAAAGATTCCTAGTTTGAGTTCTGAGATGAGTAGAACAGTATTCCACTCTTGACTGGTTTGTCCCTTCTTGAAGTTGATGTGGCTCTGAGACGGCTGATCAAAACTATCTAAAAGGTAAAACTCCTGATGGGTGTGGATTGATGGGAGCAATATTTTGGCGCTGACGAATTTGATGTGCAATGCATTTCTGTTTCTGTCCTTGCAGATTCCAAACAACCCACCACACCTACATCCGTGGAGGAGATTTCCCCTAAACAGCAGGACTGGAGCCCGGGTGTGTGCCAGGACGAGCCGGGACCCTCCCAGTTCAAAGAGGAGCTCGAGGAGCAGAAGGAAGAACTGTGGATCAACGGGAGCGAGGAGCAACCTTCTGCCGAGGACAGCGATGATGGGGACGCCTTGACGAAGGAGCTCATCAAAACAGTGCAGCAGTTGGAGGACTGTAGAGCAGCAGAGGAAGGCAGGGAGCCAAAGGAAACCTCTGTGGAGGATCCAGAACAGTCTGAAGAGAAGACCAGTACCACCTTATACCGCTGCCACATATGCAACTACATATTCACCAAAAAAACTGTGCTCACGTGGCACCTCAAGACGCACGAAAGCAAGTCGCACGACAGCAAGGGAAACTTCGACTGTCACGTGTGTGGCAAACACATACCCTGTCAGAGCAACCTGCAGAACCACATGAGGGTGCACACAGGAGAGAGACCCTACAGCTGCCATTTCTGTGGAAAGTGCTTTAAACTGAAAGGGCACATGACGGAACACATAAGAACGCATACGGGAGAGAAGCCTTTCAGCTGTCACATCTGCGACAAATCCTTCAACAGGGGATCAACTCTGAGGAAACACGTTTTAGCCAAACATAAAGAGGAGAGGCCGTACAAATGTGAGGATTGCGACGAGTTGTTCACTGAACGGCTGCTGATGAAGAGGCACATGCGGAAAGTTCACGGCATCAAACTGTCCACGAATCAAGGTCCCGCCTAGAACTTCAGAACAGACGGTGTTGACGGTGCATGTCGCATATGGTCTAAAATCTGAGTAGAAAATATTTCAATACTAGCACCAGTGAGTTTTAAGATAAATACCAGAACGATCCTTTTTCGAAATGTTGCTTTGATGATTTTAATTGTACTACAGAATCCTTTTTTCACATGAAACTTAAATATCTCTTAAATGTTTTCTGACATAAAACAGCCATACAAAAACTTTGCTTAAAAGTTTGTAAGAGTGTGTAAGATTTAAAGGGATGTACTGGCAGAAATTAAATATAATATTGATAGGTATTCCATAGGTATGTTTTCAGAGCATGGAGTAGAGTAGAGTATAATCACCTGAAAATAAGAATGGTTGTGTTTTCTTTACCTTAGAAAAGCAGTTCTCAAACTGTGGGACAAAGAGCCACTGCAGGTGGGGAAAACGTGGAGTGAAACCAAGTTGAATGAATATGATTTATGACAAATGTTGACCTTTATTTCGCTAAATTCAATATGGATATTTTCTTTTGTTGCTTTCCTAATTATTAATGATTGATAAAAAAATTTGGGGTGGGGGCTGTCAAGTTTATTTGGCTTCCAAAAGGGGGCCTGACAGATAAAAGTTTGAGAACCAGAGCCAATTTATCTACAGAGGGAGCGGGAGGGTTGATTGCAATCTGCAACCTCACCGCTAGATGCCACTGAATCCCTACACACTGTCAAACTATTCCTTCAAATCAAGTCTGATTACAGAATAAGTAAACAAGACAATGAATCTGAAGAGGTAATTGATAGCAACTTTTGGTACTTAATAGCTTTTAATACTCAGTGCTACAGACACAGTTTGGTTGGTACAAAAGATGCATTGAGGTTCAATGACCAGCCCTTGTAGAGACTCAGAAAATAAAGAAAATCAAATATAAAAACACAAGGCAACAGTCAAACAATGGAGCACTGTCTGACTACAAATGCAAGCTGCACACTGGAAATGTTTTAGTACTCCTGATGTGCTGGATTCTATTCTACCAACAATTCCCCTGTGTTTATAAGCTGTGGTGAACATTAATATGAACCACCAGTATTTTACGCAGTGTAAAACCTGCTCGTTACAAAGATAGAACCAATTTTTTTAAATGGAAGTATTGTGCACCATAATAACATATGCAGTACAACTGTGGTACGTCGTCTGTCAGCTAGTGATGTTGCACTGTCACATTATTGTTTAACACATTTATGTTTATTGTACGTATCTGTTGTATTTTTTATCTTCTGCCGAAGTTCAGTCATATCATGAACCTGTTGTAAACCAGCTATGTGAACAAGAAAATATAAAGCTTGAAAAACCACATTCAGTTGTGAAAATGTACGGCAGAAATATATCACTGTCGTCTTGTGCTTTCTGAATCGTGTGTGTGTACTGTAGTGGTGCAGGACTAGCCCCAGTTTTTAGAAAGGATCCCATCTAGATGCTGGTGTTTCAGACTTTTTGTAGTGTGCCTATCACCTGGAGAGATTTTCTCTCTAAGCAACAAGAGGAAGAACGAGATGGCCACGATGGCCAAGGCCAGGTCTACTTGTGTCTGGTGGAGTGAAGGTGATAAAGAGGCTCAGTTGTGATCATTATTAAATCTAGTCAGTCTTTGTCACAAGAGCATGCAGCTCTTTCCATAAGTGTCCTGTTATGTCTGAATGAAGAAGTAAGGATCATTAGCAGATATATACAGTAGGTAGTGCAAAGGCAGAGTGCAGTAAGTACAGTCTGTGTGTCTTCTTTCTGACAAAATCTAAAATCTAACTTGATGTCCTATAATATGAAATCTGTATTTCTTATTGTTTCAGACACTGAAGCTGCAGTAACTGGGAAACACATGGAGAGCACAGTTGGTTTTTTGGTTGGATTTCGTAGTTACTGCAATTTTTACATTGTTTTTTATAAATATATAAAATAGACCAACAATGTACATTATTAGGCTGCATGCATGGAGATATCAGAATTTTGCTACTGCTCTGGAAAAAATAGACTTGATGCCAAAAAGATCACTGCAAGTCAGTTCCACTTTGCTTCTGGTACTTTGGAACTTTGAAGTGTCATACAGCTCATCCTACCAACAGTTTCAAACTAAATACGCACCTAGGCTAACATAGGCGAGTGAGGGGCTAAAATACAATTTCAATTTTCCAGGACAACATAGATTATTTCCAGGATATTTGCTCATTTCAATCAATTTCCAGGTGTTTCCACGACTGGAAAACTAGTCTCTAAATGTTCAGGTTTTCCAGGGCGCGTGGGAACCCTGCAGCC